CAAAAGCCTATAGAGATGGGAACCCATGATGTTCAGAGCCCCAAGGGGCAGGAAAAGCACTAAGGATCTTGTTCTCTGCGTCTTAAACCCCATGTAGGCCTGAGGCAGATAAAAATAAAACTCCCCTGGCACCAAGCACTTACTCCAGTATCTCCTTGATTCCATGCAGAAACTCTGCAGCATGCTGCCATCCCCTCTACAGAAACAGGCTCCCAGAGGGGAGTGACTGGCTCAACACTGTTCAAGTTGGCAGGACTGCAATCTGAATCCAGGCCAGTCTGTCCCTGGGCTCCACCCTTGCCCAGGCTGTAGGCCTAGGGAGATGTGATCCTTCCCTGGCAGCAGGGGAGCCCCAGCCAAGCCCCCAACCCGCAGAAGCACCCACCCTTTCACTGGCTGCATTGTACTTAATGGCAAGCTCATCACGTTCAGCTCGGCTCTGGGCCAGTAGGTCCTCCACACGGGATAGCTCTTGCTGCAGCAGCTGGTTCTCTTCCTGCAGGGACAGCAGCGAGGCCATCTCTGGGGCAGGCAGTAGGGCTGGCAATGGACAGCAGACACACAGTTGGCTTCTGCCAGAAGCTGGAGGCCCTGGTGAGATGCAGCTTCCTGGGACCAACCACAACCATGGCCACAGTGGAACACCCTCCCCTCACAGGCACCCCACTCATCTCTGGGGATAAAAGGAACCTGGATGGAAGTGGCTGTCACTCCAGGCCTGAGTGGTCAAGAACTAGACCTAAGTAGAAATAGAGAAGGTGTGGGCCTGCAGGGATGGGAGGTACAGGAAGGAGACTCTGTCTAGAAGTCCAGTGTTTGTCTCTACTACCCTACCCTTGAACACAAAGCCCCGAGTCCTTGCTCCTTCCTTCTCTGATAACTAGTCTTCTCAAGCCCCTGTTTTGCTCATCTGTATAATGGGTGGAATGGTAACCAGACCCTGTCAAGGAAGTAAAAAATTCAGGGCAAGGCATCTTGTAACTTCTAAGATTAGGGCTCAAGATAGTGTTCGTCAAATGTTTTGTTGTTGTTGGGGTTTTATTTTTGGTCAGTCATGGGGCCTGTCCCTGAGTTTTTCACTCAAGACTAGCACTCTACCACTTTGAGCTACAGCTCCACTTCTGGTTTTTAGGTAGCTAATTGGAGATAAGAGTCTCATGGACTTTCCTTCCCAGGCTGGCTTTGAACCATGATCCTCAGATCTCAGCTTCCTGAGTAGCTGGGATTACAGGCATAAGCCACCACTGCTCTTCTTTAACCCTGGGAGAACAGGACACACACCACAGGCCTCACACAGCTGGGCTGAATGCTAAGCCTTCTCATCTCTGGGGCTATAGGGTCCCAATGTCCCTGATACCTGATATGGGAGCAGACATGCAGACTGTTACGAAACACCATAGGCACAGCGGCCAGCACAGCAGCCAAAGCCAAAACACATGCCCGGAGAGGGTCTGCATGAGGTTGTATGCACTGCCTATCCAGGAGAGCAGGGCGGTCAGACCTCTCTACAAGTCTGGTGTGAGCTGAGCTGCCTCTGCCCCTCACTGTAATCTCAAGCCCAGCCACCCACATTCTGTTTGGGAGGAACAAGGCATGTATTTGTGTTTCAGTTTTTGCAGAGGGCTGTAGACAAGCCAAGAGGGACTAGTTGCATTACAGGGTGATAGTTAAGTGGCAAATGATATGTTGGCCTCCATCTTCTCCTCCATGAAATGGGTCCTGGTGAGTATTCACAAAACTGACATTAGTATCTCTTTCATCTTATCTGAAAAAGGAGGCATGAGAAGAGGGACACATGGGTACTACAGAGAAGGGGGGTGGCACCTGGGCACTCAGGCTGGGAGAAGTTGCGGGTGACAATCTCTCTGATGCAGGCAGGCAGGCTGGCAGGTTGGGAGGCCTGAGCTGGGTCCTGAACACTCAGGTCCTTCTCCTGGCCTGGCCCCAGGACACTGCTCTTCAGTGTCTGCAGGAGAAGAGAGAAGACTTGTAGGAACTTGGGACCCTGAGCTGCCTGGCCTGGAGGGAAAGAGGCAAAGTCCAGTGGCCCAAATATGTGGGCCCAAGAAGATCTCGGGAGAACCAGCCTGGGAGTTAGAATCACAAAGAGTTCCCTGGGCGCATATTCTTATCAGACTCCTGCCCAATGAAAATGGCTCCCTGAGGGCCAATTTAGGAACCCCACACCTGGGGCAGCAAAGAGGATTAGGGGCTCCAGTCCAGCTCCCATCCAACGACAATCTTACTGTGCCAAAGATCAACCCAAACTCTCAAATGAAGAAGTAAAACCCTTTCCCTTACCACAGAGTACTGGAATAAGGGGGCCAAAACCCTGTACCCAGTATGCTCCTGTGAGCTGGGGCCCAGTGCACTCCACCACTACAGCCTCCCCGCCTCCCCCCCCCCCACACACACCCTCAAACGCTACCTCCCACCTGCTCCCAGCTCTGAGCAGGACAGGTTTATTGGGGACCCACCTGGATAACGTCCTCCAGTGCCAGCTGGGCCTCAGGCAAGCTCACTAGCCCCAGGTTCATGGGGAGGCGGCTGTAGGCCTCCCCAATCCCCGTCCCTAGGGCCCCAAAACCAGCTCAGCACGGATAGTGGCCTCAAAGCTAGGCTGCTGCTGCGCTGGACACTGGCAGATTAAGCTTAAATCCGGCGCGTTCCCACGTGACCACACCATGGGCGGGACTTCTCCGGAGCGAGCGGGAGAGGCGGGGAGCGCAGCGGGAAGCGGGGGCCGGGGGCAGAAAGGAGGCGGCGGAGGAAGCCAGAGGGCGGGGAAAGGAGGGAACCGAAAGGAATGAGCCTAGAGAGAAAGGGGAATGCATGGAGCAGAAAAGGAAGGGGCAGGATTTGGAGGAAAAGCAGCCCCCTCCTTCCTCTCCCCGCCCTCCCAGGGGGCGGGGTCAGAAGCCCGAGACCGGAAAGGCCAGCGTCCAAGGTCTGCGAGAGCGTCTGCGCTGACCCCGAACCCGGCTCGCGGCTGGGGCGGTCGGCTGGGAGTGTATTTACAGGTGCTGGGGAAAGGCCTCTACACAACAGGTACAGGGCAAAGAACGCGGTCGGCAGGGCCGTTGTAAGCCTGCTAGGACCCACTCCCATGCCACGGCCACCCCGAACCGGCTGTGTGTCCCACGGCTGCGGGGTCTCTGAGCCTCAGTGTGCTAGCGAGTAAGACACTTATGACACTGGCCCTCACTTCAACAGCACGTGACAGGGTGCCCGGTTCATGTCGTGAGCATTCCACAAATACTGATTCTGTTCACTTGAAAATCTAACATGCAACCCCTGACCCCGGGTCCTCCCAGGCTCCTCCCTGCAGCTGAGGCTGCGGGGCGCAGGGGTGAGGCCCACAGCTCCGGAGTCCCACCTAAGGGTGGGTGCAGTGAGGAGGTGGCAGCATGCATGCCCTGTGACAAATTATCTCTGTAAGCCTCAGTTTGCCCTTGGCAAAAATGGGCAGGAGAGTACCTCCCACATCAGGCAACTGCAGATTAAAATGCATTGAATATGGTCTGCTTCATAACAAAAAAAATAAATACAAAAAAAAAAAAATGTACTGGCCAGGCAGCAGTGGCTCACGCCTGTAATCCTAGCTACTAAGGAGGCTGAGATCTGAGGATTGCGGTTCAAAGCCAGCCTGGGCAGAAAAGTCCATGAGACTCGTATCTCCAATAAACCACCAGAATACCGGAAGTGGTGCTGTGGCTCACGTGGTAGAGCACTTGCCTTGAGCTGAAGAGCTGAGGGAAAGGCCCAGCCAGAGTTCAAGCCCCACGACTGACAAAAAAAAAAAAAGTATTGAAAGGATAGCCTGGTGCCTGTGGCACACATGCCTATAATCCTAGCTACTCAGGAGAGTGAGATCTGAGGATCTTGATTTGAAGCCAGCCTGAGCAGAAAAGTCTGTAAAATCTTATCTCCAATTAACCAGCAAAAAAGCTGGACTGGAGGCGTGGCTTCAGTGATAGAGTCCAAGATCCTGAGTGCAAACCCTGGTTCTGGCACAAAAAGAGTTGAAAGGTCAGGCAAAGGATTGAGAACCACATTAGGCAGGCAGTGAGTCCTAGTACTGCTGTTCCTGTCTTCATTAGTATCCCGATGTAGGCCTTGGCCTCAAGGTGCCCTCTATTCTAGGGGGCAAGTTCACCTGAGTTCATTAAATCCTTACCTCAACCCATTTCCACGTGAGCACACTGAGGTGCAGGCAAGTTGGGGCACTCACTTATTCAAGGTGAGCATAAATGCATTTAAACGCACATCCGTTCAGACCAGATCCCTTATGCTCAACTAATGAATCTAGAAAAGCAGAGCATGCCAACCCAAGTGCCACCAAGGTGCTATGGAAAGCAAGCCAGCTTTAGACAAAACTATGCTAGACAGGCAGTTGCCACTATGAAACTAAAAAACTGAATGTGGTGATGCACATCTATAATCCTAGCATTAGGAAGGCAGAGGCAGGAGAATAAGACGGAAGTTTTAGGTAACAAGACCTTATTAAAAAAAAAAAAAGAGTACAGAAAAAGAGCCAGAGCTAGAGCTAGAGCTAGAGCAAGCCAGAGAAAGAAAGAGAGGGGGGAAGGAATGAAGGAAGGGAGAAAGGAGAGAAGGAGGGAGGGAGGGAGGGAGGGAAGAAAAGAGAGAGAATGTACAAGGATCCTCCACCTCCAAGCTGTAGCACCCATAGCCAGGGTAGAGGGAGTCTGAACACCCTTGAGCGACGCTGTCCAGCCCCTGCATGTAGAGCTCACCAAGCAGATATGCTTAGTGAATGGAACTGAATTTATTTGTTCAGCCTTCATACCAGTGTTGTAAGGGATGAGGGAAGGGTACTAGATGGGGCTCCAGGTAACACCAACTCTGGATTCAACCCTAACCCTCTCCCATGAGAGTCCTTCTGGGTTCTTTGGGTCCTGAGAAGTCACAGCTAAACCTTGTATGGATGTACACTGCTCCAACCTCTGCAGCATTTGATTTTTTTAAGAGTACACTTTATTTTTACAGAAGAGACATATAACAAGGAAATCAAAACTTTGTCAATGAAAAAGGAGTCATTTTCTCTGCAGCCAAATCTGATTGCAACTGAATCTCAGTTAATTTCAAAGTCATTTCTCTATAAAGGGCACCACTCATTTTTAGGTCCATTTCCACCATTTTCTTCTTTTCTCTCTCAAATTCCTTTCTGAACAGATGGATTTTGTCCTCTGTCTCTGGTGAAGTAGGCTTGGTACTACTATTTTCTTTACTGGCTTCACACTTTTGAACAAAGTTGCTTTCAAAATTGTGTAAGGTTACCGTAGAAAAAGAAGCCAGGGTGACTAGTTCATTCTCCAAAGTTAATGCAAAATGATCAACTAGGAGATCCTCACTTCCTGACTTTAGTTTTTGGAAAAAGCAATTGATAGGGAGAAGTCTAGTAAGATTATGAAGACATTGGAACAAAACTGTTTGATTCCTTGTATAGATTGTTAAAATTCCTTTAAATGGTGTTTTTGGTTTCCAGTTTAGGAGAGTCCCATAGACATTTCTTGGCTCTTTACAAAAGCACATTTCTGGAAATTCTTTGATGACTTCACAGTTCATGCATTCTATAAGCCACATCTTCATTAAATTCAAGGCACCACCGGATGATGATGTGAGTTGAAAACAGTATTTGTTCAATACTGTGAGATATGCAAAAAGATCTTCCATGTGCTCTATCAGTTTCTTCTCTGGAAATGTCAGTAGGTATTTCTCACTTGAAAGATCTTTGAGACTTATACAAAGTCTGCCACATGGAATAAAACGATCTTCAGGATACTTATCAGTATCTCTTTCTTTAAATTGTAGTAGCACGACACAACAAAATTTATTGAGTGCTAAAAGTGGTGAAAGAGATGTTACACCAGTAATTATCTGCTCACATTCTTTCTTAGACGGCTGTTCACCAATAAAGCTTTCTTCCTTGTTCAACTTGATCCTTTTTGCCTCAGATCCTACTTCATGTGGCTTTAAGTATGGTTCTGAGAAAGAATCCATACTCAACTTAATCACCTTATTTTGACACTTAATAACCGGAACAATGGAGTTATAGGATTTGTCTACTAACAATGATAAAGTCACATCATTCAGGGATAGCTTTAAAGAAGATGTGGGTTTTACTCCAACAATTAAGCTACCATCCAATATACGATACCATATCTTCTCTATTTTCTGTTCTGAATGTTGAAAAACATCTGGCAACTTTTCATTGAAGGTACTGACAAAATTCTCTTCTTCCCCACAAAAAGGAACAAGACATTCCTCCTCTGCATTTAACGTACTGTCAGTTTGAGTCAAGTTTATTAAAGCTTTGCAAGATTTCAAAATAAATTTTTCCTTTAGCAAGATATGCTTCTTGAATTCCTGAGTTAAACCCAAACCTACTTCTATTCTTCTTTGCAGAGGTGGAATCACCAAGCAACGATTCTTATGTTGTTCTTTAAACAAATCATCTTCATAGAACGCCACTGGTGTACTTGAATAGTTTATCTTGTCAAGATCTGTTAGTTCAAACGAAGACAGGGAATCTGAATTCAAAGAATCCTTAAAAAGGAGCAGTACCTGTTCTCTTCCAGTTCCAATGAAGTCATCTACCAGTACTAAGCTAAATTTATTCCACTTAGCAGTAACCTGAAAGTTCTTTTTTGAAACAGCACAAGCATGATCGGTCCTAAATAAAACAATGAAAAATAATTTTCCTTCACCTGGGTCCAAAGATTGAACTGTACAAGGATCTTCAAATGGAAGCTGGCACACACTTTTAAGTGTTCCATTGTGACATGAAATGAGCTGATTCTTTCGAGTAAGGGCAACCAGAGATATTCTTAACTGATTGTTGACAATCTCAGTTGTACAGACATGAATATAAGTTACCACATTACTATAAGCAGGAGGAATAATACAGGTATCAGTTAATATTTTTTTACTTTGAAGAGAATACATACAAAACTTACTATTACAGATTTTATAATCTGATTGTAAAAGCTTTGAGGTATATTCCATTTGCCCCAAAAAAACCATACCTAGATTTTGGATCTCACCTGCCCACTGAATAGAAGACCAATTAGTTGATATGCTAATGATTTTGCCAATTTGGGAAGAGATACAGTAGAATGTCTTGACGTATTGCCATAAAACTAAAGGACCATTATGGACTCTTATGCTATCATTCATCTCATAGCCTAGACTAAAACTTAAACACTTTTCAAATTTATTGGTGCTGTGCAAAAACAGCAAATAATATTTGAAAACACCATTCAATTTTTTGTTTTGTATCAAAACAAAAGGAAGGTTAATTCCAGTTCTGAAATCTGACACACAATTGCAACATATAATTTTTAAATGAGAACTTGCTTTCTGTATGTGACAGAATCCAGTGGACTTCAGAGCAAAGGTTCTGGTTTCGCTGTCAAATACCATCTTTCTGACATGTAGTATGGGTGTCTCTGCTGACATTTTATCTGAAAAATTCTGGTTAGACAACTGAAAAATAAGGATTTCCCCATTATAACACACGACCCTTTCTTGTTGATTAAATGACATTGCTCATTTGCCAATCAGAGGCTCACACTTGTATTCTTAACTACTCAGAAGGCTGAGATCTAAGATCATGGCTTGAAGCTAGCCCAGGCAGGAAAGTCTGTGAGACTCTTGTCTCCAGTTAACCACCAGAAAATTAGAAGTGGCACTGTGGTTCAAAATGGTAGAGTAGCCTTGAGTGAAGCTTAGGGACAGTGCCTAGTCCCTGAGTTCAAGCTCCATGCCGACAACAACAACAAAAATCAAGTCTTTGCATTGATCCAGCTTGCAAATGAAAACTGATTCCAATTGATGCTTTTAATCAATGGCTGCATTCCTTTCTCAAGAAATACTGCCACTATTTTCTTCTCCTGGGAGTAGTGCTAGGTACTGTTCTTAGCACTTCAGATTCATCCTTTTATTCCACACGGTGTCTTCATGCCATAGGCACTATTAATATTTACAGATGAGGAAACTGAGGCACAGTTTCAGGGCTTTCTCAAATGCCTGGGTGATGTAGCCACATTACGGAAGCCCCACCCGGTTGCAGGATTTTGTGACTCCAAACCTCCCGCCAGCGCGCTGCATCCCCAGCATCCGATTCTTAAAAAAAATAAAAAAATAAAAGAAAATAAAATAACTGAATTCCTCACAGGAACCTAGATGTTATATCTTCAACATCTGTTATCATTCAAACGTAGTTTGTCCCCTCCAAAGCTCATATATATATATAGAGAGAGAGAGAGAGAGAAACATGCACATATGTAGACATACACATATATGTATATATACATATATGCATATCTATGTATATGTCTACATATGTGCATGTGTGTGTGTTTTATGGTACTGAGTAAGCTTAAACTCAGGGCCCTATACTTGTAAGGCGAGGACTTGAGCCATAGAATGTAAGAGTGGAGAGACAGTGGGATATTTAAGAAGGGAATATACTAGGATGTTATTACTGAGTGGTAGAGCATTGCACTGCATGTGCAGACTCATGCATTCGTGCACATACACAGTTAGAAAAAAGAGGGAAGGATTTGGCCAAGAGGGTGAATACCTGGGTTCTCAGGGGACTGGGTTATTTATCACAAGAGTGGGTTGTTATAGAAAAGGTCATGTTCCTTCTTGCTATTTTCTTTCCTCTTTCTTTTTTTTCTTTCTTTCTCTCTCTTTTTCTTTTATTTATTTATTTATTTATTTATTTTGGGTCCGGTCGTGGGGCCTGAACTCTGGGCCTGGGCACTGTCCCTCAGCTCTTCAGCTCAAGGCTAGCACTCTACCACTTTCTGTTGTTGTTGTTGTTGTTGGCCATGGGGCTTGAATCCCTGGCCTGAGTGCTGTCCCTGAGCTCTTTGGCTCAAGGCTAGCGCTCTAACACTTGAGCCACTGCGCTACTTCTGGTTTTCTGATGGTTTATTGGAAATAAGAGTTTCACAGCCTTTCCTGCCTGGGCTGGCTTTGGACTGTAATCCTCAGATTTCAGCCTCCTGAATAGCTAGGATTACAGGTGTGAGCTATTGGCACCCGGCTTTATTGCTCTTTTCTGCAGACATCTGTGTATCTTCTTTTTCTACCACGTTGTAATAAAGTACAAGGACTCTGCCAGATGTAGCCAAGACCATTTCTGCACCAAAGTGGGGATCAAGTCACCAATGTGAGATTCGCAGAACCATGAGCTAAATGAACTTCTTTCCTCTCTAAATTACCTAATCACTATGACAGTATCTGACTGCATGGCCCACAGTCTTGACAACACCTCATCATCTATGGTAAGACCTGCAGTGACTTCACAATTCAGTTTCAGTTTCCTCCTCTGTAACATGGAGTAATTGGTACCTGACAAAAACATGAGAATTAAATAAGATAATCCTTACCTAAATATGTTGTGTACCTAAATGTGGTATGGCAGAAAATGGTGTGCGTTTATCAAAAAGTATTTGGCTATGTGATCAAGTCCTGACCAACAGACTTAAGACAAAGAATGTGAGCCAGCTCAAAGTAGCCTGTTAAAACCTCCCAAGGAATTCTCTCCTTCCCCATCCACTAGCTGGAAGAAAACCCTAAAGTAGTAGGAGCCACAAGATGGGAAAGGTGTGGGTCTCTACGTCTCTATAGAAAGCCACCTGACAAACACCCAACAGGGCTTCAGGAATGAGAACTAAACTTCTATTGTGTGAAGGTTCTGAGGTTTCAGCAGCTATTGTTACCTTAATTACTACACACAGCTGCACAGGGACAAGTGTTGGCTATTCTTGTTGGTGTCATTACTATTCATTAGTATTACTGCTCTTCCAAGTGTCCAATCTAGAGCCTGTGCCTGCTTCTCATTCCTCAGCCATTGTTCAGTGAATAATTACAGGGAAATAAAGACATCCTTTGCAGTCATTGTCTTGATTGGCTCTGCCACCCTCAGAACATTTATCAGGGCTCTCTGCAGTGGCTAGACAAAGAGCCCCTAGACCTTTGAGAGTTGCAGACAACTGGTTTACTTAATATACACTCCTTTATTTTCTGGATGCTAGCTAGAAATTATAACAAAAACATTGAACCAACCATGAGTTGTGCCCCAAAAATTACATCTGAACTTTTTGTGTTTTCTTATATTTGTGCTCTCTTAGCAACCCTAGGAGACCAGTTCTGTTCCCATTTTACAGAGACCCAGGTCTTCCTGGTTCCTAAATTTTATAAAATTACCATTAATTAGCCTCTACTGTGTGCTAGGCACCATCTTGGTCTCTCTTTTTTTTTTTTTTTGGTCAGTCGTGGGGCTTGAACTCTGGGCCTGGATGCTGTCCCTCAGCTCTTCAGCTCAAGGCTAGCACTCTAGCTCTTGAACTACAGCGCCACTTCCTGTTTTCTGGTGGTTTATTGGAGATAAGACTCTCAGGGACTTTCATGCCCAGGCTGGCTTTGAACCATGATCCTCAGATTTCAGCCTCCTGAGTAGCTAGGATTACAGGCGTGAGCCACCAGCGCCCGGTTGGTCTCATATATGCCATATAAACTACTACTTTGACTGCTGTCTCCTGGGGTGGGGTGGGGGGGTCTCCTGCTTCTACTCTGGACTTCCCCCTCCCAACACACACTATTCTGCATACAATTCATGTCCCTTCTCTACTTAATCCCCCATTCATGGCTCCAGTAACATCTAAAATGAAGTTCAGAGTTCTGCCACAGCCTACAAGAGTCTGGTCTCAGCCCCCGAACTCTTCTTTTTTAATCGCTTTGTTTTGGTTTCAGTGGTTTTGGGACAGTCTTACTATGTAGTGCGAGCTATCCTCTAATTCAAGATCCTCCTGAATGTTGGGATTACAAGAATGTACAACCTCCCCAATCATGCCGATCTTGCATCCTCAAACACATGCTCCACCAAGATCTTTGCATCTGGCATTTTCTCTGCCTGGGATGCTTGTCTTCCTTTGGATAATGGACTGCTGTTTGGCTCAAAAGTGTTATCATGAGACAGTTAACCCTGACCTCCCAGCTCAAGTAATCTCTACTAGTATTCATTTATCCTATACATTGTTTTCTTTCTTTTTTTTTTTTTTTTGGGGGGGGGTCCTGAACTCTGGGCCTGGGTACTGTTCCTCAGCTTTTCAGCTCAAGGCTAGCGCTCTACCATTTGAGCCACAGCGCCACTTCTAGCTTTTTTCTGCTTATGTGGTGCTGAGGAATCGAACCCAGGGCTTCATGCATGCAAGGTAAACACTCTACCACTGAGCCAACTTCCCAGCCCTACATTGTTTTCTTCTAAGGGTAGGCACCCAGCTGGCTCTGTTCATTGCTACCTCCACAGTGCCTATGGCCTAATGCTCTATGAACAGTTGTTAGATGATGAGACAATACAGAAAATCCAAAAAATCTAAAATGCTCCCAAATCCAAAACTTAAAAAAAAAAAAAAAAAAAAAAGATATTTTGGTGTTACTGGAGAGTTAGAATTCAGGATCTTGCCCTTGCTGAGCAAATGTTTTATCACTTGAGTCATATCCTCATCCCCAAAACTATTTGTGTGTGTGTGTGCACGCACGCACACACACATAGCTAGGCTAACTCAGGCCCTCTCACTCATGCTTGGCTTTTTCACTCAATGCTGGTGCTCTACCACTTAAGCCACAACTCCACTTCTAGATTTTTGCTGGTTAATTGGAACAAAAAAAAAATTGGGCTGATTATAAATCATGATCCTCAGATCTCAACCTGCTGAGTAGCTAGGATTATTGGCATAAGCCACGGGTCCCCACATGATGCCATAAGTGGTTCACATATCTGATTTCATGATGGGTCACAGTCAAATCACAGGGGCAGCCCAGCATGATGGCACATGCCAATAATCCAGCACTCATGAGGTGGTGATGAGGATTAAGAGTTTAAGACAGGGATATACACAAAAACCATGACTCAAAATACACACACAAATTGAACGCAGGCATTCTAAAAAACCATAGCACTACTTTGTGTTATGTGGATAAAGGTTTGTTTTTTGCCAGTCCTAGGACTTGAACTCAGGGCCTGGGCAGTGTCCTGAGCTTCTTTTGCTCAAGGTTAGACTCCACCACTTGAGCCACAGCACCACTTTTGGCTTTTTCTGTTGATGTGGTACTGAAGAATCGGACCCGGGGTTTCATGCCTTGCTAGGCAAGCACTCTACCGCTGAGCCACATTCCCTGCCCTGGATATGAGTTATATGAAACATGTTATTTTGTTTAGACTTGAGTCCAGTCCTGAAGATATAGCCTATATGCAGCTATTCCAAAATCTAAAAGCAAAACAAAAAACCTGCAACAGCTCTGGGATAGTCAACCTGAAAAGAAACTGCCTTAAACAGGAAAAAGAAGGCAAGAAAAGGCAACAATTCCCAGACTCCATCTGGGGTCACGTGAGGCACGTGTCGTCCAGGATGGAGACCCACAGTCTGGGGTGCCTATCTGAGTCCCCCATCGGATCCCCGGGGCTTGAGGGCTAGGCGGGGAAAGGCAAAGCGAAGGGAAGGGTGAGGTGGGTGTGGGAAGCCCCGGGCTGGCTTCTGGCGCCTTTCCTGCGACCCTCGACAGCCGCCCTCACCCTGTTGCAGCCTCCGCTCCCGCAACGCAGTTTCTGATCAGCGACCCCCCCCCCCCCCCCCCCGCTCGCTCCCCTCCCCCGGGAGCTCGGCTCGAAGCTCCGCCGTGGGAAACGGGAAATCTCGGCGTCGGCAGCCGGCCGGCGGGGCCCTCCCGCCCCCAGCCTCCAGACAAAACCGGAAGGGCTGGGGAGGCGGGGTCGCCAGAGGGGTCACAACACCCCTCAGCCTTGGGAGCTCGTGCGGAGCGGCCGCGGGCCTCGGGCCCCGCCTGGAGACGCTGCGCAGGCCCCGCGGCCTGCGCGTCCGGGACAGCGCCGCGAAGGCCGCGCGGGGCTCGGAAGGCGGCTTGCCCGGGAAAGGCCTCCCGCAGCTCCACCGGGCGGCGTGTGTGGGGGCGAGGGTTCCTCAGCAGGGCGCTCGCGGGAGCCTGCGGCGCCGCGGCTTCCGGCGGCCCGCAAAAACCTCGAGAGATGGGAGGCACCGGGCGCGTGGGACCCAGGGAGCCGCCGGGTACGGCGGGGTAGCGCAGGGCCCCGCGGGCTCCTCGGCCCCGAGCGCCCGCCGCGTTCCCTCCCCGCGCGCACGCGCGCCGATGGCCCCTACCTTGGCGCATCGCCGCAGCCGCCGCCACCGCCAACGAGCGAGCCCAGCCGGGCCTGGGGGCGGGGCAGGAGCACGCGAGAGGCAGGCCCCGCGGGGGGGCGGGAAGAGCAGCCACACACCCGATTGGGGGATTCTCCAGGGAGGGGCGGGGCCAGAGGCACCCGCCACTCTTACCCTTCGCGCCTTCCGCCCAACTGACACACCGGACATCAGCGCGCCCCGCAGCGTCCCAGCGGTGAGGTGACAGCGCCAGGAGGCCGCCCAGCCCCGATGGCCGGCCCAGTTCCACGGCCTCACTGTAGGCAAAGATGAGCGAGCCGGGCGGCGTGAGGAGTGGCGTGCTCCGACCAGGCCTTGAGCGCCGCGGGAGCGAAGCCCTGGGCTTCCAGGAGTCGGTGTCTTCCCGATGGCTGCGCGGCCCCGGAGCGGGCGGCCGCCGGGCTGGCCTTCACCGCGCCGCACTTGGTGGCGCCCCTTAAGTGGGACAGGGCCGCACGCCCGTCTCCACTGCGCCAGAAACAGTACTTGGCGCTGGGCCTCCGGGCCCTCGGCGGCCAGCTTTATACTGGAGCGCTTGACGAATCCGTTTCGTCTTCTGAGTGGGGATCTCGGGGCCGCTGACCCGCTCCTGGAGCGGGTCTGCGTATGGAATGGCAAGATGGATGCTGCAGCCTCAGCCCACTTCTGGCGGTGTGACAGCAGCTAACTTCTGTTTCTTCAAACTCTTCCATACCTTATGGACACAGCTCGTTCCCATCACCATCGCCCGCGGGCGTCCCCACGCGACAGCAGCTAACTTCTGTTATTAGGGAATTTGATTCGCGAGATACAGAGAAGCCACACTTTTAAGAGGTCAAATGGGGAGTCTTTATTAAAAGGCCTGCGACTGCAAGGGTGTCCCAAAGACTCGCAGCCCTGAATGCAGCGAGCACTAGGATTCTTAAACCTTCCAAAAGTATTATACAGAAGCAAAGCAAACCATCTAGGGGGAAAATTAGGGGCAATCAAGGTGGAAGCAATCCAGGGCAAGACTTTGCCGGAGTTTAACAACTCACGTGACATCTGTAATCCAAAGAATATCCTAGATCTCCTCTAGAGTTCTCAGAAAGTCCACACCATCCATCAAGATGGTGCCATTTAGACTGAGTGGCCACATTTCAGTTTCTTCAAACTCTTCCATACCTTATTCACAAAGCTCGGTCCCATCCGCGTCTATGGCCGTCCCCACACGACAGCAGCTAACTTGTTTCTTCAAACAGTCGGCTTGCTCCTCTAGCAAGGAAATGACTGTAACCACACACGCACCATCAGCCCGACGTCCAGAGTCCGTCAATCGGGGTCTTCGGCACACGGCCTCCCTCAGGCAGCAGTGCTTGGTTCCGAGCACCCTGAGTGGCGGGAACAGCATCGGGTGCCTAGCACCGGCGTCGCCAAGCTTGCCCCTCACAACAAGCCTGTATGTGTTGATGTGCCCTCGGTGGTGCTCCAAGCAGGACAGCGAGCGTCACACAGCTTCCCAAGTAGCTGCTGCATGGCGGTCGCAGCCGAGAATATCGGAGCTGCTGAAGGCCTAGACCGTTCATGGAGTCATGCCGTGCCCGACCCCACCCCCCTTCCGCTCCTGGCGTGGGCTTCCGCAGACTGCCCCTTCCTCCGTTCCCCAGCCGGAGTCACCCTGGGCCGCCCCTCCCCCAGGCCTGGGCTTCTGGCCTGGGCGGTAGCCGCTCACCCTGCTTCCCTCCTCGCGCAGGCGCCGTTGCTGAGACTCTGCTTGGCCAGTGCGCAGTAGCCTAAGGGCTCTAGGGGCATTTCACCGCAGGGAGCAGGGCTCAGTAAAGCATGTTTGGTTTTTGAGGCTTTTGTGTTCATTGTGTGCCCTGTCAACTCTACACCTACTATCCTCCTTCCTCTCCGCGTCACATCTCACTCTGCCCATTCCCGCTGCTTCCCCACTCCCAACAGTGTGGTTTACTTTCCTGTCTCTCTCTTGTTTCCAAATGTGTACCAGTATCCAGAAAGGCCAGCAGCCCCCCAGCAGGTAATTCTGGGTTTTGAAGTGGTTAGGAGGCTAGAATTTGGGGAGATGAGTGGGAGGTGCATTTTGGGGAAAACCAGTACTGAGGGCTCATGTCTAGCACTCTTAACTCTCCTCAACTTTTGTCCTGGCTCATTTTGAACCTGTGTTCTCTAATGCTAGCTGGGATAAAGAGGAAAAAAAATAAATGTTCTAGGACAGTGTTTTCCAAATTATAACCAATGAGTTATAAAATCAGCTTGCTAGATTTTTATTTTTTGGTCGGTGGTGGGGCCTGAACTCTGGGCCTGGGCGCTGTCCCTCAGCTTTTCAGCTCAAGGCTAGTGTTCTACCACTTGAGCCACAGCACCATTTCTGGCATTTTCTGCTTAGGTGGTGCTGAGGAACTGAACCCCTCATGCATGCAAGGCAAGCACTCCTACCACTGAGCCACCTTCCCAGCCCCAACTTACTAGATTTTGACAAGCATTTTTAATGGGAAGTGTAAGGTATATTAAGTAGGTAGGTTTCATTAGGTAGCTGATAAAGAGAACACCACATGGTAGTCAGGCAGGAAAAGTTTACTGAACTGCTGCCCCTTCTGTCTCAGGAACAGCTCAAACCTGGACATATAGGGCCTCCAGTCAGTCCTTGGAATACTCCAGTATAATCAGGAAAATATAATATATAAAATAATCAGGAAAATAGTGGGTGTTTCAAGATCTTAGGTAAATGCTGTTATTCAGCCCAAGGGGACTTTACATCAAGAGCTGCCTTCTACTGTAATGATTCCTAGAGATTGTAAATGTATAGATTTTTTTTCTCCATCCCTTTAGCAGAACAGGATAAGGAAAATTTTTCCTTTACTATCCCAAGCATAAATAAGAACCTGCAAAGTATTACCAATGGAAAGTCCTACCCCAGGGAATGCTTAATTCCCTACTATGTCAGGAATACATAGAGGCTGTTCTACAACCTGTGCAGGAATCTTTCCCAGATGCATATATTATCCATTATATGGATGACATATTGTTAGCTTTACCTGATGAGATGTTAGACAAACTTTACACAATGGTGCAGGAGAGACTATTAGTTTCAGGTCTTTAATAACAGAGGAAAAAGTCCAAAATGCCTCTTATCTGGGAATCAGAATACTGGTAATGCCATTATCCCACAGAAGATTCAAATCAGAATAGATGCCTTGAGGACCCCTAATGATTCTCAAAAGTTGCTGGGTGATATTAACTGGCTACGTCCCTCTCTGAAAAACCCAACTTACAAACTACAGCACCTCTTAATATTTTGCAGGGAGATAGTGACTTAAATAGCACCTAAGGGCTGGGAAGGTGGCTCAGTGGTAGAGTGTTACCTTGCATGCATGAGGCCCTGGGTTCCATTTCTCAGCACCACATAAGCAGAAAAAGCTGGAAGTGGCGCTGTGGCTCAAGCAGTAGAGCGCTAGCTTTGAGCTGAAGACCTGAGGGACAGTGCCCAGGCCCGGAGTTCAGGCCCCATGACTGACAAATAAATAAACAAAATAGTCTCCAAGCATTAACCCCACAAGCTCAAGAGGAGCTACAATGTCTAGAATAACATATTCAAAATATCCAGTTAAAAAGTGTAGACCTGGGAAGTGGCGCTGTTGCTCAAGTGGTAAAGTGCTTGCCTTGAGCTGAAGAGCTGAGAGACAGCACTCAGGCCCAGAGTTCAAGCCCCACGACCAATTAAAAAAAAAAAGTATAGATCTGAAATCTTTAGTACAATTGTTTTTTCCTACCCCACATTCCTCATCAGGATTACTAGTTCAGGGAGAAGGATGGGTAGAATGGATTTTTCTCCCTAATAACTCGGATAAAAAGTTAGAGGCTTGGGGCTGGGAAGGTGGCTCAGTGGTAGAGTGCTTGCCTTGCATGCCTAAGGCCCTGGGTTCGATTCCTCAGCACCACATAAGCAGAAAAGAAAAGCCGGAAGTGGGGCTGTGGCTCAAGTGGTAGAGCGCTAGCCTTGAGCTGAAGAGCTGAGGGACAGAGCTCAGGCCCAGAGTTCAGGCCCCACGACCGGACCCCAAAAAAAAAAAAAGTTAGAGGCTTATTTGGATAAAATAGGTCAAGTGAGGGAGACAAAAGCTTAAAACTATACTAGTAAAGATCCAGACTGTATTATTCCTATGTCATATAAGGAGACTAAAATAGTTACCAGGAAAATCTATCATGGCAAACAGCTCTTTCCAATTATCTAGGACATATGGGATGTCATTATCCAAAAAAAACTTTTCATTTCTAAAAAATACTCGGTGGATTTTGCCAAAAATTGTTAAAAGTTATCGTATTTCAAAAGCGCCTCTCTAGTTTACTGATGGCAGTAAAAGGGGAAAGGCGGCTTATTCTGGTCCAAAAATAAACGTACTTAACTCCCCTTATCAGTCTGCACAGCAAAATGAATCACTTGCCATCACAACTACTCAAGGATGAGCCCGCTTTTTTCATCACAGTATGTGGCCACTGAAGGATCTGCCTCTCCCTTCTCCACCCAATCTTTTTTTTTTTTTGTCAGTTGTGGGGCTTGAACTCTGGGCCTGGGCGCTGTCCCTCAGCTCTTCAGCTCAAGGCGAGCACTCTACCACTTGAGCTACAGCGCCACTTCCGGTTTTCTGGTGGTTTTTATTGGAGATAGGAGTCTCATGGTCTTTCCTGCCCGAGCTGGCTTTGAACCGCGATCCTCAGATCTCAGCCTCCTGAGTAGCTAGGATTACAGGCGTGAACCACCAGCGCCCGGCTCCACCCAATCTTTTTATGTATCTAAAGATGGAATATGAAGGATTGAGTCCTGCCCTATTTGCAAAGCATCTGGTGTGTGCTCATGTGCTTGTCAACAGGCAGGTCATTCTGACGTTGGCCCCCAGGAGACAACAGCCCCCACACCCAGCTTCCACTGTAGGCCCGGCCAAGGACATTGCCCTTGATCCCAAGGAGACCATAGCCCATTTTCTTATTCTCTGCTTCCTTGTTAAGTCCTATATAAGCCCACCCCAAAATCCGTCCCTTGCGCAACCTCCAAACCTGTTGGAAGGTTTGTGCCCTGATGCTCAATAAACCATCCTTGCCAGTTGACTATCAAGTCCGGCCTATTCCTTTTCTGTTCTCCATTTTCCCAACAGCCATGTCTCTTCCTTTAATGAGACCATGACACTGTCCATGACTCGCATTAATTCTCTTTACTGAGATACAAAAGGTTTGGAGAAGAGCCTCGCCTTTTTTGTGATGCATATCAGGGCTCACTCTCTCTGCTTGACCCTTTATCTGAGGGCAATGATTTTGTTGATCAGCTGATTGTACTTTATACATTCAAGCTACAGATTGGCACAATTTAACACATGCTATGCTCCTGCTTAACAGACAAAATTTCATTTAACTCACACTCAAGCTCAATCTATTATCTCAGCCTGTCCTACCTGTGCGCCAATCACTTGGTCCTCGTTTTATCCTGGAACCAACCTTATAGGTTTAAATCCTGTTATAATCCATCTTTTGGTCGATCAAACTTTATACGTCACAACTAACACCTTTTCAGGTTTTATTTGGGCTACGCCTTTATCTGGAGAAGCTTTGAATCATGTAATGAGCCATCTTCTTTCGCTGCTATGGGTGTTCCCTCTACTGTTAAAACAGTCAATGTCCTTGCCCATACAGTACTAAATTGCAAACCTTCCTAAATAAGTGGCAATTATATTACAGGAATCCTTTATAATCCACAAAAGGGAGATAGGTATGTTACTGGGCCTCCAAAGAACAGATAGCAATGGCATTATATACCCTTAATTTTGAAAACTTAAACTTTCCATCCAATACTTCAGCAGCAGAAAAAACTCATCTTTATGTCAACCTATCTAGTGGAAGGATGACACTGATAATAACTGGAAACTGGGAACCGTCGAAGTATGGGGCCATGGTTATGCTTGTGTGTCCACAGGTTCAGCAGACATCTAGCTAACAGCCCAGAAATTAAAACCCAGAAAGGAAGAGAAAATCAACATCAAGGAAACTCTGGTAGAGTCCCTCAAGGATAGCTAAAGGCCGGGGAGAACAGCAGGAACCAGGTCTGCAACCATTCCCACCTGGGGACAGATACTTTCCCAAGAAGCTTAGATACTAAAGGACAATGTACCAGAAATCAATACACTATCTTTGTTTGTAATGATGATGGCACTTATTCATACTGCTAGTGCCTCTTGCTTGGTACAAGCCTCTGGAGGGTTCCTATGCTGGGTAAACCGTTGTACTTACATTGTTACTAAGACACGTAAAACTCAGCAAGCTGGCTTGTATTTTCAACCAAGTGACATGTCACAGCTATAATAAGTCAGTACTGGTTTTCTGGTGGTTTACTAAAGAATATCAAGGACTTTCTTACCTGGGCTGGATTTGAACTGCAATCCTCAGATCTCAGCCTCCTGAGTAGCTAGGATTACAGGCATGAGCCACGGGCGCCTGGCACTATTTATCTATTTATTATACTATTTATTAAGTGCATAGTACTTACTATTTAGGAGCAATGCAAGTAACATATTAACTTCATCCAGATTCTTTTTCACACTGACTCCCCCCCTCCACACACAAATTTGTTCACCTTTTCCCTCACTGCGCCCCAAACTCAATGCCATCCCCTTTAACTATGCCCCTCCACCCCCGCTTGTAAGTTGTTTTTTTTTTAAATTTTTTTTTTTGGGTCCGGTCATGGGGCCTGAACTCTGGGCCTGGGCGCTGTCCCTCAGCTCTTCAGCTCAAGGCTAGCACTCTACCACTTGAGCCACAGTGCCACTTCCGGCTTTTTTCTTTTTGCTTATGTGGTGCTGAGGAATCGAACCCAGGGCCGCATGCATGCAAGGCAAGCGCTCTACCACTGAGCCACCTTCCCAGCCCCCGCTTGTAAGTTCTTATCATGAGTGTAATTAAATTATTGGCTTTCCCTGACAATACTGTATTGAGTAGTTTTTAGCTAGAATTTCACCTGGTGATGGACATTATCAAATTTGCTTGCCCATACTAGGCTTCTCAAGGAACTTTGCAGGGTAGAGCCCTGATGGTCTTTTCCTCAGAAGCTGCCATTCTCCACACTGTTACCATGGTTCTTGGCTCTACAGAAAGGTAATTAGGACCAAGTTATCTGATGGGTACTGGTTATGCTTTATAGCCTGGGTTAAGGAAGGAACCTGTAGTCACTGAAAAGTAGGCGACAGCCTAGATATAAAGCCCAGACCTGTCTCCAGAATTCAATCTGACCTCTGGAAAAATTCTTTTTTTTGTCAAGAGACAGGGTCTCACTATACAGCCCAAGCTGACCTTAAACTCCCAATCCTCCTGCACAGCTGGCCCATGAGCTTCCCCACAGAATTAGGTGCCACTTGGACCCTGCCCTGAGGATGAGAGAAAGGCCTATAGACTGTAGGAGAGGACTTACTGCTCACCTCAACACAACAGAAGCCATTTTCTAAGAACCTCTCTGGATACACTGTTTATTGGTGGTATCTGGAGAGCTCAGCAGCCATGCTGCCAAAAACACATTTATATCACACACACTGACAGAAGTAAAAATATTTATTTTTTAATCTTAAAAAAATCTGGTGTTCCCCCCAAAACACCAACCCTTTCAGTTCTTGATCTTGGCCTTAAAAAAAAAAATCCTTCAGATGAGAGTTTAAATTAATTCAATAAAGCAATTCCAGAGACATACTCAAGATGATTTCTTATAAATCAGCAAACCAGGCTGCCTTGTACTTTCAGGTGACTGCTCAATCTTGAAGGAGAAAAGAGAAGGCTTCCTGCTGGTAAGGCACTTCAGAAACCACCAATGTGGGGGCTGGGAAGGTAGCTCAGTAGTAGAGTGCTTGCCTTGCATGTATGAGGCCCTGGGTTCAATTCCTCAGCACCACATAAGCAAAAAAAGCCGGAAGTGGCACTGTGGCTCAAATGGTAGAGCACTAGCCTTGAGCTGAAGAGCTATGGGACAGTGCCCAGGCCGAGTTCAGGCCCCCATGACCAAAAAAAAAAACCAAAAAACAAAAAACCACCAGTGCATATCTGCAAATATCGAGGCCCACTCAGAACTGTGCTGTGAACCTGGGAGCCTGGAAAGTGGCCAGTGGCCAAGGAGGCTGACCCCAGCTCCATAAGCTCCCGCTTTCCTGCCAAAACACTGCCCCAGCTGCCAGCACCTGCAGACTCGGAAACCATTCAAATGGTCAGCTACCTGTGGCTGAGGGCAGCTGCTGGCAGCAAGAAAAAGTCATCAGAAGCCCTTGCTGTGTACACCAGAGGTCCCTTTTGCAAGGACATGTTAATGTGGACTGGCACATTAGCAAAACAAAATATTTAAAACTGTAAAAAGTTGTGTAATCTTTCCAATATTCCCTGATGGCCCATTCAAACTGCAGCCTAAAGACCTGCTAGAAATCAGGGATTCTTCCTCTGGAAGGTACCATCTGTCTCCCACCAAAGGGAATGAAGACAGCATCCTGCCCAGCAGTGACCCCAGAACATCTGCCAACCCTCTGAAGGGCTAATCTGAATCCAGGTCGCAAACTCAACCCATTCTGTTGCTTACGGGTTTGTGTTTAATACAGGTCACTGCAATGGAGAAAGGCGACTCTGTCTCCCTCACATCAGGAGGACAGATAGGGAAGGATCTGGAGTGTTTCTTCTCCTGTGTTCTAGATCCACACTTGAATCCCAGGAAACAGTGCAACATGGTACCAACTGACTGCTTCATATGCTCTGGCTTTGAAGAACAGTGACACCCCAGGGAGCATCCGGGAGTGCTTTGACTCCTTCCTTGGGCCCAGATGAGATGGCTCCTTCCCAGAAGTTGGATGAGGACAAAGTTGTACAGGTCAGAACTGGACCCAGCCTGTGCCTGGCTGAGTCTGGCTGGAAGATGGCCTTTAAGAGGAAGAGAGGACAGGAAGAGCTCAGCCTTTTTGGGGGGGGGAGGGGCGGGAAGGGGGAGGAAGGGGAGTCAGTCGTGGAGCCTGAACTCTGGGCCTGGGCGCTGTCCTTTAGCTATTCAGCTCAAGGCTAGCGCTCTACCACTTGAGCTACAGCGCCACTTCCGGCTTTTTCTGCTTAAGTGGTGCTGAGGAATCGAACCCAGAGCCTCATGTATGCAAGACAAGCACTCTATCATTTAACCACCTTCCCAGACCAAGCTCAGCCTTTTAACAACAGATGAAGGTGGCATCTCTCTGGGCAAAAAGAGCTCTAAACAGACAGTTTCTAAATAGCCAAAAGCAATGGTAAACAAACTATGGCCCAGGACCAAACCTCAGCCTATGTGTCCTCAGGTCAAATACACTTTTCTCTTAAATTAGTTGTACCATGCTCATGTGCTCTGGTGAATAGCTCTGTTGGCCCATAGCCACGTCACTGATGTCTATACTCTGTGGCTGCTTTCCTGCCACTAGAACCTGGCCACATACATAACAGTACAAATAGGAACTGAGCATCTTTCCACCCTCACTCCAAAAGAAGGCTAGACTCTCCACTCCAGAAGTCTCATGAATTATTTTGATAATTTATGGTACTATATTTAAGTAAGGATGATTTAACTAGTAAAAAAAAAAAAAGAAGTCCCATGAGGGTGAGCAGTCTGGGCCTGACTTTCAGGTAGAGAGGAGAGAGGGGAACTGGGGACCATTCAAAGCACTCGGTGAGGTGGTGTGGACAGCAAGATGCCTTAATGGATATGCACAGAGGACAATCTGCCACCCACAGCTGGTTTCTGGGGCTCTGTGTTCCAGCTGGCATGAAAATGTCTACACAGAGCTGATGATTTGGGGCTGGGAATGTGACTTAGTGGTAGAGTGCTTGCCTAGCGTGCATGACGCCCTGGGTTCAATTCCTCAGTGCCATACAGAAAGAGCCACAAGTGGCACTATGGCTCAGTGCTAGAGTAGTAGCTTTAAGCAAAAGAAGCTCAGGGACAATGCCCAGGCCATGAGTTTCAAGCCCCAGGACTGGCAAAAAAAAAAAAAAAGGGCAAAAAAAACCCCAAGAGCTGATGTTTTCACAGCCAGAAGGAAGGAAGACAGGGGAGTGGCCCTGGGTCTTTATAAGTAGTCCTAACTATTCCCCACCCCCAAATGCAGCCCTCCTCACCCTGTAGATTTTGTAAAGTCTCCCCAAACGTCAGCGGTGGCAGCAGTGGCAGGCTTGGACTGTGGCCAGGATTCAGCAGCACTTCCTATTTGTGTCCCAAGTCCAGTGGGTAGGAAGAAAGAAGAAGAGAAGTCAGGGGCTTCTTCCCATTTGGTGACTAAATTATGAGACTTGGGGGATCAGTTCATGATTCCAGGAAGCTAAGGACAAATAAGCCATGTCTGGGGGCCATACAACACCAGTAGTGCTACATTTCCACCATAGCTCAGACCTTAGGAGCCTCAGGGGAAAAGCAGAAACGATACAAAGTGACAGCAAGTGTCATCTGTTGCACATTACTTATACCCTATGCTATTTTCAGCTATGTATACTTCGATCTGTTCAAACTTACTACCTCACATCCTGTTTTCACAAATGGAGAATGCCACCCATACTGTCTCAATCAATGGCTGGGCAGTGTATGTGCACGTGCGTGCATGCGTGCGTGCGTGTGTGTTTCATCCCAGTGATGTAAGGATAAGGAAAAATAAATAGAATCAAGCCGGGCGCTGGTGGCTCACGTCTGTAATCCTAGCTACTCAGGAGGCTGAGATATGAGGATCGTGGTTCAAAGCCAGCCCGGGCAGGAAAGACCGTGAGACTCCTATCTCCAATAAACCACCAGAAAACCGGAAGTGGCGCTGTAGCTCAAGTGGTAGAGCGCTCGCCTTGAGCTGAAGAGCTGAGGGACAGCGCCCAGGCCCAGAGTTCAAGCCCCACGACTGACAAAAAAAATAAATAAATAAATAGAATCACAGTCCAAGTTGGCCAGGGCATAAAATGAACAACCCGGCCCAGTGCCAGTGCCTCACACCTCTAATCCTAGATCTGGCTACTCAGGAGTCTGAGATTTGAGAAATCTGGTTTTAAGCCAGCACAAGCAGGTAACTCCAAAGACTCTTATCTCCAAGTAACTAGCAAAAAGCCAGAAGTGCAGGTGTGGTTCAAGTGGTAGAGCACCAGCCATGAGTGAAAAAGCTGAGTGAGAGTATGAGGTCCAGGGTTCCAAGCCCTGGTACCAACTCAAAAGAAACAAGCAAGCAAACAAGAAACAACCCAAAAGGGCACTGGCTGAATGGCTCAATTAATGTCTTCCTAGCAAGCATGAGGCCTAGAGTTCAAACCGTAATTACCACAAAAAATAAAAAGAAAAGAAAATTTCCTGGTGACAAAGCCCCTCTCCTGCCTAGGAAATTTCCCCACAGTGCTGAGGTTGAAAGCTTGACCCCAGGCAAAAGAGCCAATGTCAGATTTACAAGTACTTGAAAAAGGCTTGAACTCAGGGCCTGGGCACTATCCCTGAGCATCTTTTACTCAAGGCTGGCACTCTACCATTTGAGACACAGAGCCACTTCTGACTTTTTCTGTTTAACATGTGGTACTGTGGATCGAACCCAGAGCTTCACGCATGCTAGGCAAACACTCTACCACTAAGCCATATCCCAGAGTCAATGTGAGATTTTCTAAGAACCAAGAAAGCTTTTGTACTTGGAGGGTGGCCCAAACTGGGTGAGGAACTGGATGGAGATGGACTGGTGATAATCCTCAGCCTGGGAAGGCCAGAGCAGCACACTGGATAGGCCAACCAGGCAGGAAGTGGAAGGAAAGAGCTGGAACCCCATCACTAGTTTTAGAAATCCTGGGCCCTCCAAAGGTGTCAGCAACACAAGCCACCTGGAGCTCTCTCAGCATCCCAGCACCCAGTGACCCACTCCACACTGAGTATCCAGTACTACTTCCTGCTCACCTTGGCACACTCCATGCGACATCCATCTTCCCAGACATACAGGCATCGCCAAGTCTGAGCCCAGTCATGCTTTTCTCTCTGCCAGGAATACCAATATTTCTGCCCCAATCATCTCCTTCCTTCATAGGGCAGCTCAATGCCTCCTCCAGGAAGCTTCCCCAGTGGGAGCCTGCTGGCTTCTCATAGTCTGTGGCCCACACACTGACTCCTCACTGTCACTAGGCACAGGCAGAGTTGTATCTATATCACCCATTTAATACCCACTGAGGACCTGGACCTGCCTTCTCTGACTTCACAGCAAACAGAGGGGAAGAGAGAACCTCCAGTGTGTGCAGGATCTATGTCTGACACATACAGGGTCAAAGTGACAAGTCAGAAAGGGTGAAGGAGGGAAGCCCTGGGCCACTACCACTACCGAGGAGAAGAGTCAGCAGTTGCCCAGTACTGACCTGAACCAGGCTGGATGAGCGAGCCTCCTGTAGACAGCTGCTCCCCGGAGGGTGGGATGAGGGTAGAGGCCTTGCCTCCAGGGGGAGGGGGAAGCAGGCTCAGACCTCCTGTGCTGGCAGGCCGTGCTCGGGGAGTCCCAGCTGCTCCTTCCTTCTTCTTTATGTTCTAAAGGGAAGAGAGCATGCTGTAATCAGAGAGCTCTACAGGAAAGCCAAGGGAACTCCAACCCCAACAACCACAGAGCAAAAAGTGGTCCTATCTACACCTTGCTGTCATAAGCAGCATCCAGTGTGTCACAATTCCAGGCCTATCACTGATATGGCTCATTAAAAAAACCAAGCACCTAGGTGGGCACTGGTTTCACTGGGCACTGGTTTCACATGCCTATAATCCTAGCTACTCAGGAGGCTGAGATATGAGGAGGATCGTGATTCTGCCTAGGCAGGATAGTCGGTGAGACTCTTATCTCCAATTAACCACCAGAGGAAAAAAAAATACGGAAGTGGTACTGTGGCTCAAGTAGTAGAGTGCTCATCTTGTGCTGAAGAGCTCAGGGACAGTGCCCAGGCCCAGTGTTCAAGCCCCACAACCAGAAAAAAATAAAAATAAACAGCACCTGCATTGGTGGCTCATACCTGCAATCCTAGCTTCTCAGGAAACTGAAATCTAAGGGCCATGGTTCAAGGCCAGCCTGGGCTGGAAAGTCTGTGAAACTCTTATGTCCAATTAACTATCAAAAAAAGAGCCAGAAGTGAAGCTGTGGCTCAAGTGGTAGAGTACTAGCCTTGAGAAAAAGTTCAGGGACAGCATCCAGACTCACGAGTTCAAGCCTCAGGACTAGCAAAACACAAAAACAAAAAACCCAGCACCTGATTCTATCCCTGAGGAAATGCATATCAATGTAAAATGATCCAATATTACACACCCACCAGAATGGCTGAAGCATCAAGTATTGAGTATGGGGAAAAAAGCTTGAGCCAGGCTTCAGTGCTCTAAATCTTTGCTACTCAGGAGGCTGAGAACTGAGGATCAAGGTTCAAAGCCAGAGTGGGCTGACAAATCCAAGAGAATCTTATCTTGAATCAACAGCAAAATGCAGGAAGTAGAGGTGTGGTTCAAGTAGAAGAGCACCAGCCTTGATCAAAAAAACTAAGCAAGAGCACAAGGCAGAGTTCAAGTCCTAGTATTGACACCAAAAAAAGAAATCTATGAAGTGCAACATGGAAACTCATGACATAGACCCAACAGCAATGCATGCGCATGCGCACCACAAGACACCAACACTGGTGGCAGCAGGAAACCACCCAAATGTCCATCTTCAAACAGATGCCCTGGATGCACCCGCACAGCAGCGACAATGAACAAGCCCCTGCAGCAGCACAACTGCCTCTCTAGTAATAAATACACTAACTCCTCTGCTTCTGGATCTAGGGGAAGTGTCTAGGCCTTTCAGGTTGTGGGGCTTGAACTCAGGGCCTGGGTGTTGTCCTTGAGTGTTTTTGCTCAAGACCAGCACTATACCACTTTAAGCCATAGCTCCACTTCTGGTTTTCTGTGGTTAATTGGAAATAAGAGTCTCATGGATCTTTCCTTCCCAGGCTGGCTCTGGACCATCATCCTCAGATTTTAGCATCCCGAGTAGCTAGGTTTACAAGTGTGAGCCATCTGCACCTGGCTAGATTCAGTTCTTTATAGTTCAATTTTGGCTGGGCATAGTGGTACACACCTGTAATCACAGCATCCAGGAGGCTGAGGCAGGAGGACTGAAGAGTTCCAGGCAAGCCTGGAATAGATACATAGCAAGCAAGATCTTGTCTCAAAATAATAAATAAATAACCTGGGTGCCAGTGGCTCAGGTCTGTAATCCTACTGAGTTCTGAGGATTGCATTTAAAAGCCAGCAGGGGCAGAAAAATCCGTAAGACTTTTTTGGGGTCAGTTGTGGGGGCTTATGCCCAGGACCCTAAGTATATGACCCCTGAGCTCTTTTTTCTCAGTGCTAGCACTCTACCACTTTGAGCCACAGTCCCATTTCCAGTTTTTAAGTGGTTAATTGGAAATAAGAATTTCATGGGGACTTTTTTGCCCAGACTGGCTTTGAACCACTATTCTCAGACCTCAGCCTCCTGAGTAGCTAGGTTTATAGGTGTAAGGCACCAGCTCCTGGCTTATGAGATTCTTTTTTTTTTTTCTTGGTCGGTCGTGGGGCTTGAACTCTGGGCTTGGGCACTGTCCCTCAGCTCTTCAGCTCAAGGCGAGCGCTCTACCACTTGAGCTACAGCACCACTTCCGGTTTTCTGGTGGTTTATTGGAGATAGGAGTCTCAGGGTCTCTCTTGCCCGGGCTGGTTTTGAACCGCGATCCTCAGATCTCAGCCTCCTGAGTAGCTAGGATTACAGGCATGAGCCACCAGCGCCCAGCTGGCTTATGAGATTCTTATCTCCAACTAATCACCAAAAATCTGCAAGTGGACCTGTGGATCATATGGTAGAATACTAGCCTCAAGCTGAAAAAACTCAAGGACAGCACTCAGACTCTGAGGTTCAAGCCCAGGACTGACAAAATAAATAAAATTATAAAATAAATTCCTGGGAGATAACGAGGGAAGAAGCAACACCAACACTTCAAAAAGAAATGTACTCATGGCACTAGTGCCTCATGCCTGTAATCCTAGCTACTCAGGAGGCTGAGATCTGAAGATTGTAGTTCAAAGCCGGACCAGACAGGGAAGTTCTTATCTCTAGTTAACTACCACAAAACCAGAGTAGAGCAGTGGCTCAAAGTGATAGACAGCTAGCCTTAGGGGAAAAAAGTTCGGAGACAGTGCCCAGGCCCTGAGTTCTAGCCCTATGACTGACCAAAAAAGAAAAAAAGAAATGTAGGAAATTGATAGACTTATGTAACTGTAACCCTCTGTGTATCACCTTTATAATAACAATTAAAATAACTGAGTTCTCCGTTATGGTTTTTTACTTTTCTGTGTATTAGACTTCAAAAACAAAACAACACTTGAAAAGCAAAGCATTGAGCTAGACACCAGCCCGAGTCACACAGATGAAGGCAACAAGGGTCTCCCATGAGCACAGCAGCAGCGTCAGTGAAGCCCTCAGCATGCATCCAGCTGGCCATTTTCTTCCACACCTATGACCTAGGCTAAGTCCCTTTGCCTCCCTGTGCCTCAGTATCCTTGTTCTGTCTTCTAGAAGGAAGGGGTGTTCAATTCACAGGAGAAAGGCCTGAGAACACTACCTGGCCCATAGCTGATGCTCATTACATGTTAGTTTCCTCCAAGCAAGAGAAAGAGTCATATCCCAACCAGTCCACTGGATTGGATTTGTACTTTCTCCAAGAGCCAGTTAGCCAACTTCAAGGTCCCAAATCATCACCAGCATGAAGCAGAAAAGAGGAAAAAGAATGGTGAGGAAAGAAGAAGAGCATTACTTTAGAGTTTCAAACTTCTTCAAAAACAAACCCATCTGGTCCTTGGTTCCCTCACATGACGACTTCATCTCCCCATTCCACCCTCGCAGCCAGGTAAAGGCAAACCTTGGCAGTTCAGCTCCCCCAACCTGTTCCTATTCTGGAAAGGCTAGATGCAGAAAGTAGACCCAGGCAGCCAGAACACCACCACCAGCCAAAGTTGCCCAGGCCTCCCAGCCCAGAGCACTCACAAAGTTTCCTTACAGGAGGCACAAGGCCCAGGCACAGCTTGAGATGAGCACATGACCTTCCCAAGGCACTAATAGCCAGGACAGGAACACCAGCTCTGGTGGCAAGTGACAGATGCTCTGTTTCCACTCAGAGGCCGTGTGTAGGCTGTTCCCTCTGCTAAGCAGCTCCTAGGCCCTCACTCCCCACTCCCCGCAGGTGACTCCTTCCAAGAAGCCTTCCCTGGGCCCTCACATCAGGGCATCCCTTAGGCACAGAACCTCTCCTGCCATGCTGTGATCAGCAGGGCAGGGGCTTTGTGCACCTGGCACAAGGCAACTGCTCAGTAAACTGTAACTACACTGACAGCTCTGACTTTTTGAGGAGTTAGGGGCTCTGGGGTGGGTATCACCAGTGTCACCTGCCCAGGGCCAAGGGGCCAAGGGGCCAAGGGAGGGTGAGACTCACTGCGATGTTGATCTTGATGGTCTGGCCCTCCTTGAAGCCCAGGTCCAACTTGGGGCCTTCATCTGGGTTCTGGGCTTGTTTTGCAAACTCACACTGCTGTTTCACCCACCTGGGGAGGAACAAGAAGGAAAAGTGAGAAAGGCACAGCCTTGTGTCCATTTATTCTCTCTGTTCAGCGAGGACACTTTGCAGGCTGGCTTTGGAGTCAGCAATTAAGATTCCACCTGCAACCCTAAGCAGCTGCAGACTAACTGGCTTCCTTGCCATGATGATGGCTGGGATCCAAAGGTCTGAAAAATGAGTCCCAGACCAGAAGGTCCCAGCTGTGGCCTCCAGGAAGCTGAGAGCCCTCCCTTTCCTCTCCTTCTCTTGATACAGTCTGCACACTCTGCCTCCAACTGCTGCCCACTCTACCACCTCAACATTCACTCAGGGTGAGACAGGAGATGCCCAGAAGCAGAGAGCATACAATGCCACCTAGCACTGCCTACTTGCTGGCAGTCAGAGGCGGAGTCTTGCAGAGGGCAGAGGAGCACTTTACTGCCTGTCTTTTCACACACAAAAAACACCAGGGACTCCAAGTGGCACTCAGGAGCTCCTGGGTCCCTGACTGCTGAGGGCTGGTGGGGAAGTGATGTGGCACCTTGAGGGCTGAGGCAGATGACTGGAATGGCAGACACCTTTGGAAAAGGAGAGTTGGAAGCAGTGATAAGGACTGGTGAGAGGGAAGGAGTCGAGTCAGGAGGACTGGGCTTTTCTGAGGCCTTGCTATCAGACAAGCTCAGTCATGGGTGTCCTCCTTGGAAATGGCTTCCCAGAAAAGGAAGGAGGATGGAGGCATCACGGGTCTCTGGGAACACTTACTTGAAATGGTCCTGTAATGCTACATTGAAGTCAAAGGCATCCCCTCGGTCCACGAAGCCAATCCCAATAAATGCCCGTCGCCCTGGGAACAACATGTGATCAGCCCCACTTTTTCCAGGACACTGCTACCAGAGTGCCACCCAGACCCATGCGTACCAGTTCCATCTTCAATGCGGACGACGAAGTACCTGCTGGAATCGGTCACGCTCTCCACAGCTGAGCCTGGAAACTGATCCACTGGTGCCTGAGCAAAGAGCTCCCCTGAAAGCACAAGCTGGGCTGAGCCTGGTATTCCCAACGCACTACTAAAACGCCTGTCCCTCTGCAAAGCATCTTAACAAAGCTGGGGTAGGTTGGCACAATCTTCCTCTGGGATCCCAATCAAATCTATTTTTTTTTCTTTTTTCCTTTTTTTGGGGGCCAGTTCTGGCCTTGAACTTTGGGCTTAGGCTGGCACAGGTGACCCCAGGCCCAGATAAGAGCAAGCACCTGAAGCACGACTGCAAGAGAGGCCTGTGAGCCACAGGAGAGGGGGACGTTTTAGACCTACAGAAGACTCCAAAGCTGACAGGCATGGGTAACGCCCCTGTCTCAAAATATAAACAAAACAAACAAAAACAACCTTCTAAAGCAGCTGTGTGACCCCAATCTCAGGGACTGACCAAGCCCAGCCCTCCAGTTTCCGTGCGACACTGCCGACTGGCTCCCTCCTCACAGTGTTCATCTCCTCTGATATGGTTAAGGCTTTCTGTGTGCTGTGTTAGCTCAGACTGGCTTTGAATTCCTCATCTTATCTCAGCCTGAGTGCTGGGATTACAGCTGTGTAACCCCACACCTGACTTCACCAAACATTTTCAACTGAGTCTTGAGGTTCAGAAGTGACTGAGTCATCAAGCTGAACTAAACCCTCGATTCCAGCCACTGGTCAGTGTATCCACTTGCAGTCTGGCACACTGAGGCCTGGCCCACCTGGATGCCTTGGGCTGGGCAAAGATTCCCAGCCAGGAGCTCACTTCCTCACGTGAGACACTTGGCTTGTCACAATCTAGGTAATGGGAAGGCAGAGGCCAGGGATGCTAAGTGTCTTCCACACTGGACCTAGCAGCTGTGGATGTCAACAGTGTGGCAGTAAGAAGCACTGGCCAGCAATGACAAGGGTCAAATCCACATGAAGAGTACCTTAGAGAGGGTCCTCCAGCCATGCCCAGCCCTCAGTGGTGGCTGACATGTTAGAGCTCCAACATTCCCAGAAAACAAGAGGTTTGGTGATAGCCTTGACACCACATAAATGTCTGAAAAGTCCCTAGCTAGCCACAACACTATCTCCTCTGTTCTCTGCAGCCAAGAGGTACCTTGTCAACACTGCATTCACAAAGCAATTGGATAAATATCTGCTCAATTCCTACTTCCACTGACCCCATGGGAGAGGTATTAGTGTGACCTCATTTCAACAATAAAGAAGCCAAGGAAGACTCCAGAGGTAATGTGGCTCACCCAAGACCCAACAACTCAGAAGCCTTAGTTATGACAAGATGCCAGCTCTGCCTCTGTATCGCTGCACTTCCTTCTGCTCTACAATAGGAAACTTCTACATATTAAGAGAAAAAAATAAAGGACAGAGGACTATGGCATATGTCTGAGCAGGCATTATGTTCAATCCCAATCAAACAACAACTGGGGTCAGAAGCTGAGAGGTTCCAGAAGCACTGCCCTCCATTGCTCCCTGAAGCACTGGCAGCCCAGGATTTCTGGGTAGGTTATCCCAGAGTTAGAACCCTCAGCTGATCCCAAGATAGCCCACCGGACCTATCTTCCCTTCACAGAAAGAGCTGAGTCTGAGCTGAGCACCAGTGGCTCATGCCTATCATCCTAACTACTCAGAAGGCTGAGTTCAAAGCCAGCCAGGGCAGGAAAGTCAGTGAGACTCTTATTTCCAATTAGTCACAGAAAAAGCTGGAGGGAGTGGTAAAGTGCTAGCCTTGAACAAAAAGCTCAGGGACAGTGCCCAGGCCCAGAGTTCAAGCCCAGAGAGAGAGAGAGAGAGAGAGAGAGAGAGAGAGAGAGAGGAAAGAGAGGGGAGGGAGGGAGGGGAAGGGGGGAGGAAGGGAGGGAGGAAGAGAAAAAGAGAAGAAAAAAAAGAGAAGAGAGAAGGGAAAAGAGAAGGAAGGAAGGAAAGAAGGAGAGAGAAAGAAGGGAGGGAGGGAGGGAGGGAGGGAGGGAGGGAGGGAGGGAGGGAGGGAGGGAGGGAGGGAGGGAGGGAGGGAGGGAGGGAAAAGAAAAAAAGAAAGAGCTAAGCCTGACAGATCCCAGCTTTCAGTTATCAGGTATGGCCAGTCCTGGGGAGTTAGGGTTTAGTTGATAAACATAATTCTTCTTTTTTTTTTTTTTTTTTGGTCGGTTGTGGGGCCTGAACTCTGGGCCTGGGTGCTGTCCCCTCAACTCTTCAGCTCAAGGCTAGTGCTCTACCACTTGAGCCACAGTGCCACTTCAGGCTTTTTCTGTTTATGTGGTGCTGAGGAATGGAACTCAGGGCTTCGTGCATGCAAGGCAAGCACTCTACCACTGAGCCACCTTCCCAGCCAATAAACATAATTCTTAGGAGGAAGCAGGGCTCAGTGGCAGGGTATTATGTGGCTCCACCCTTCAAGGCCCTTTTTCTTTTTCTTTTTTGAGTCCAGTCGTGGGGTCTGAACTCTGAGCCTGGGCGCTGTCCCTCAGCTCTTCAGCTCAAGGCTAGCACTCTACCACTTGGGCCACAGCGCCACTTCCAGCTTTTTCCTTTTTGCTTATGTGGTGCTAAGGAATCGAACCCAGGGCCTCAGGCATGCAAGGCAAGCGCTCTACCACTGAGCCACCTTCCCAGCCCCTCAAGGCCCTTTTTCTAGGGCCCAATTAGGCCACTAGTTTAAGGACCCTCAAAAGGAAAAAGTTCTTGACAAGAAATACTCTTTTTTATACCTGAGGCTAGTTTTTTCTAGGACCAAGGCTGGGGAATGGAGGTAGCTGGACGTTCCACATGATCTGATCTAGGACAGTGTCCCTAACCCTGGCCTGGCCCTCTTCTTTCAAGTGGGAGGTTTGGCACTTCAGCCCAACACAGGCTCCTCTGCCTTTACCTGAGGTCTTGTCCTCCAGCTTGATGTAGGCCACCTGTCCTTTTGCAGTGATGCGCAGCCGGCCACTCCATGACGGCTGATCCAGCTGCCACTCCGAGGCCCTAAGGAGACAGAAACCACTGAGCCTCTGCCCAAGGCTCCTCTCCACTCCTGTAGAATCAGGGGGTGACAATGGAAAGGCTGCTTGTTCTAGACCAGAGCTAGCAGACCTTGTCTGTAAAGGGAAAGACAGGAAATAACTTTGGCTTTTAGGCCACATAGCTGTCACTAGGCAACTGTGGTGATGTAGAACCAATTAGACAACATGCATGTATACTGGTATTTTAAGCAAATATTTTTACTGAGTGTGGTCCTATTTCAATAAAACCGTACAGACACAAAAACCTACTTTAAAATGTAAAATTAATTCTGAGCCCGTGAGCCACTCAAACAAGGAGTTGCAGCCTGCAGACTATCAATCTTCTCCCAAGTATGTTTCTTCCACTTTCCTTTCTGTGGAGGAAGCATGGGGGTGAGTGGACAGTTTCTGTTTATAGCACTGCCGGGCTATGGGGACCAGAGTGCTGGCTGGAAGCACTAAGACCATTGGAGGAAAAGTAAGAGTAAGTTATCATATGTAGGGAAAAGGAGAGCAATGATGTCCTCAGTGAGAAAAGTGAGGTTTAGGAAATTCATCCTCAAATGTATCCTAGGCAAAAAGAAACCATAGACCTACTACAGCAATGGCCTCTTTTCACTTTTTTTTTTCTTCTTTTTTTGCCTGTCATGGGGCCTGAACTCTGGGCCTGGGTGCTGTCCTTTAGCTCTTCAACTTAAGGTGAGTGCTCTACCACTTGAGCCATATTGCTTCTTCTGGCTTTTTCTGCTTATGTGGTGCTAAGGAATTGAACCCAGGGCCTCATGCATGCAAGGCAAGCACTCTACCACTTAGCCATCTTCCCAGCCCTCTTTTCACTCTTTTAAGGCAGTAACTTCAATTCTACTTCAAAGAAGCAGGTCAGTAAAATCCCTAAACAACAAGGCCAGCGGGTGTTTCCAGGAACCTTTTTTTTTCTTGGAAGTTGCTAAGCAGATACCAGTTTTCAAGAACTCTGGAGGCAGGTTGTTTTGAAAGCCCCTCAATTCACCAGGCAGCAACTGAGTTTCAGTTCCTCTTCCTGGGGCAACAGACCTCAAAGTCAGGGAAAGAGGGGCTCTGAGGCTGAAGAGCAATTTCCTCAAGCCAAACCAACTCCTGCTGACACTTGCTAACCTTGCTCTCTATAAAGTAAGAGCAAGCAAGCTGGCACTGGTGACTCATGCCTGCAATCCTAGCTATTCAGGAGGCTGAGACCTGAGGATCAAGGCTGGAAACCAGCCCAGGCAGGAAAGTCCAGCCCAGGAAGGAAAATCTCTGATAATCTTTTTTTTTTTTGGTCAGTCATGGGCATGAACTCAGGGCCTGGGTGCTCAGCTCTTCGGTTCAAGACTAGCACTCTACCACCTGAGCCACGGCGCCACTTCTGGCCTTTTCTGCTTATATGGTGCTGAGGAATCGAACCCAGGGCCTTATGCATGCAAGGCAAGCACTCTACCACTGAGCCACCTTCCCAGCTCAATCTTTCAGAATCTTAATCTCCAATTAATCACCAGTAAACAAGTAGTGGATCAGTGGCTTAAGTGGTAGAGTGCTAGCCTTGAGCACAAATGCTCAAAGATAGTACACAGGCACACTGAGTTCAAGCCCTAGGACCTGTACTAGTGTGTATGTGTATGCACGCACACACGCACACACACACACAGAGGAAGCAATCCCAGTTCTCTCAAGACTCAATAGAGAGGGGTTAATAACCATCCTTGGATTGGTAGACACATCTACAATCTGACAACAAAACTCCAATGCGTTTTTAATAGGTTTTTGTTTTATTTGTTTTTTGGCCAGTCCTGGGTCTTGAACTCAGGGCCTGGGTATTGACTCTGAACTTCTTTTGCTCGAGGCTAGCACTCTACCATTTGAGCCACAGTACCACTTCCAGCTTTTTCTGTTTATGCGGCACTGAGGAATTAAACTCAGGGCTTCATGCATGCTAGGCAAGCACTCTTATCACTAAGCCACATTCCTAGGCCTCAAATGCATGTTACTGTTGTTTTCATGCTACTTTTAAATTACCTCCTGTATCCAGTTATTTACTAGTTGTTATTTACTAGAAAATTTGCTGAGTCTATGTTCACATAACTGCAAAGAAACAAGTGGACAGATGTGCGGACACTGCCTTATACTTGCTGTGCAGGTCAATCCAGTATCACTGGGGACACACATTCCTCCTAGAGCCACCCAACCACCAACCAGCACCAAAGGCGATATGCCAGGTTGTCTGCGTACTTCCTTTTCATCTCATTTGGAGGCAATAAAACACACGGTTCAAAGGGTTGTAGCACTATATAATACGAGACTCTAACTCTCCTCTACGGCAGATTCCTGTGTTCCAGAAATAACCATATGTTTACAAGCAGGAGTGTTTACACCTCAAACGAAGATTACCCCAGGTAAGTGTGGATGGGCTGGAGGAGCTATTTCAGGGTATGAGCATCAAGGGTGAAATCAGAAGGGAGCTAGGCAGGGAAAGGGGAACTAGGCAGGTAAGGGGAAGTGGGTACGAAAGGGGGAGCTAGCAGGAAAGGAGGACCGAGGCAAGAAAAAGGGGAGCTAAGGAGGAAAAAGAGAAGCTAGGCAGGAAAAGAGGAGCCAGACAGGGAGAAAGGGAGCCAGACAGAAGAAAATAAAAAGGGGGGGAAACTAGGCAGGAAACGGGGAGCCAGGCAGGAAAGGGGGAAGCTAGACAGGGAAAGGGGAAATGTAAAAATAGGCAGGAAATGGGGGCGCCAGAAGAGAGGAGCTGGGCGAGAAAGTGCCCCTGGTTCTGGCCATAGGCTGGCCGCCTCCTGGCCCGCTGGGGTTAAGGATCTCCAAGGATCCCTCCCAGGCCGTCGGTTAGCGCTGAGCGAGACTGGCCTGCGGCCTGACCTCGGTCAAACTCAGGGCACCAGCGGCCAACGGAGGTCCCGGCGCTGGGCCTCAGCCAGCGGCTGCCCCGCCGCCGGCGTCTCGGGCGGGCGGACTGGGGACCTGACCTGACCTCCCCGGCTCCTACCCTGGCTGCACAGGGCCGTCCCGGGCGCCCGCAGTGGGTGTGGGGGGGATTTTAAGTCGGGGAGAGCGGAAGGTCACCTGTAGCCACGGTTGGTGGCTCGCGGTGGGATGCGGTAGACGTGGACCTCCGGCTTCACACAGAGAACCGACTCGTACTCGTCCTCCTCCATCGCGACGCAGGGACCCTACCGGACTTCCGGCCTCGTCTCCGCCCCCTTCTACAATCCCACCCCCTCGGGGCCGGAAGCGGCCCTACTCTATGACTACAACTAGGAGAGAGCGGCTGTTTACGAGCTTCCTCGATGCGCGCCCTCTGCTGGGTGGCCTGACTCAAGACATGCGGTGGATGGACTGGCGCTCCCGTGCGGAGGACCAGAGTGAGCTGGGGGCCTCTGTCCTCCTCCCAGGCACTCCCGGCTGCAGGACGGGCCCTCGCTTAACCAGACCCAGGGTCTTGTTGGATGTAGCTGGTCCCACCGCCCCGCTCTTAAGCTTGGGGACTAGTTAACTGCGATGCAAAGATAGAGCTGACCCTGCCTCCACTCCCTGCACATCTTGCTTGCATCTCTCCTCTCCCCAGCTGTCCTTCTTACTCTGCTCCCTTCCTCCCATATTGAGTCTTTCTCTAGAGAAATCACCCGCAGCCCCCTCCATGATTTGTAACCTACTCACAGGCTCAGGGCCTTGGATTTCTCTAGGGATTACGATGTCTCATCATGGTCAAGTTCTCAAAAATCCACTTCATTCCAACAGTATTTATACAGCATCCTCCACAAAGTGTAGGCCTCATATGAGCTGCCCCTGATTGCAATTCTGAGACTCTCTGAATAATGCCCACCTGTCTCCTCTTCCTACCTAGCCTAGTTTTCTTTTATTGCAGTAAAACAAAAAACTTACCATGGGGTTTTTGTGTCTGTATTTGTGTGTGCTTGAAATTGAAACCAGAACCTTGGGCATGCTAAGCATGTACTCTACCACTGAACAATACCCTCAGACATTAAAAAAAATGTTTTTCAGGGCTAGGAAGGTGGCTCAGTGGTAGAGCGCTTGCCTGGCATGCATAAGGTCCTGGGTTCAATTCCTTAGCACCACATAAGCAGAAAAAACCAGAAGTGGCACTGTGGCTCAAGTGGTAGAGCGCTAGCCTTGAGCTGGAGAGCTGAGGGACAGTGCCCAGGCCCAGAATTGAGGTCCCACAACTGGCAAAAAAAAAAAAAATGTTTTTCAGTTGTATAACTTTTTTTTTTTAATTGTGAAAATACCGTACAGAGGGGTTACAATTACATGGGCAAGGTAATGAGTGCATTTCTTATCAAGCATTGTTGCCTCCTCCTTTGTTTCCCCTTCCCATCCCTTCCCATCTTCCCCCCTCACCTTCCTCCTCTTGTATAACTTTTTTTATGTTTGTTTTTATTTTGACAGAACTAGGGTTTGAATGCAGAACCTTGTGCTTGCTATGCTTATGTGAGCCATACTCTCAGCCCTTTTTGTTTTGTTTTTCAGATAGGGTCTTATACATTTTGCCCCAGCTGGCCTCACACCAGGATCCTCTGACCCATGACTTCTGGTAGCTAGGGGCCATAAGTATCTGTTACCACCACTGGTTCACTTTTCAGATAGGATTGTATTAACTTTTTTGCTCAGGCTGATCTTAAACTATAATCCTCAAGCACTTGACCTTTAACAAAGGCTCTATGTAGCCCAGTCTAGACAATAACTCAAGATCCTCTTACTTGTGTCTAACTGCTAGGATTACAGGCAGGCACCACCATACTTACACACCTTCAGCCATTTGAACTTTTATCTTTTTGTCAGTTGTGGGGCTTGAACTCTAGACCTTGGCACTGTCCCTCAGCTCTTCAGCTCAAGGCGAGCGCTCTACCACTTGAGCCCCAACACCACTTTGGGCTTTTTCTGTGTATGTGGTCATGAGGAATCAAACCCAGGGCTTCATGCATGCTAGGCAAGCACATTAAGCCACATTCCCAGCCCTAGTGTTTGTTGTGTCTACTTTATTTCCTCCTCATGTTTTCAAGGCTCATTAATGGTATAGCATGGATCAGAACGTCATTCTTTTTAGTGGTTGAATAATATTCCATTGTGTGTCTAAATTACATTTTGCTGATGTTTGTGGATGGAAATTTAGGATGTTATCATTTTTGTCCATTTTGAATAATGCTACTGTAAACATCAGTGCAAACACTTGTTCAAGCTCTTATTTTTAATTCTCCTGAGCAGCTACCTAGGAGAGGATGGGTCATCCTGATAGTCATGTTATTTCTGTTTAGCTTTTCAAGGAATCTCTAAACAGTTTTCCACAGTGGTCACATTATTTTCCCTTCCTACCAGAAATGTTCCAGGGTTCTAATTTTTCTATATCTTTGTCCACACTGGTTACTTTCCATGGCTTTATATATACACATATACATATATACATATAGCATCATAATATGTATTAAGCTATACTCTTTGTGTGTGTGTGTGTGTGTGTGTGTGTGTGTGTGTGTGTGTGTGTGTGTCTATCTGTGTTGGTACTGAGGCTTGAACTCAGGCCTAGGTACTATCCTTTAGCTTTTTTGCCCAAGACTGGCACTCCATTCCTTGAGCCAGATCTACTTCTGGCTTTTTGCTAGCTAGGCGGAGATAAAAGTCTCACAGACTTCTTTCCTGAGCTGGCTTCAAACCATATGTTAGAGTATTCTTTTTTTTTCTTTTCCTTTCTTTTTTCTTTTCTTTTTTTTTTTTTTTTTTGTGGGTTGTGGGGCTTGACCTCTGGGCCTGGGCGCTGTCCCTCATCTCTTCAACTCAAGGCTAGCACTCTACCTCTGGAGCCACAGCACCACTTCTAGTTTTCTGAGTGGTTTATTGGAGATAAGAGTCTCACAGACTTTCCTGCTCCAGCTGGCTTTGAATGTGATCCTCAGGTCTCAGCCTCCTGAGTAGCTAGGATTACAGGCATGAGCTACCAGCACCTGGCTGTTAGAGTATTTTAGACTTTGCCAGAAAACCATCTAGGTACAAAGAACAAAGAAAAGGTTTGTTGCCAGGAAAGGGGCCGGCAAGACCCCTTCTCACAAGGGAGAAGTGAGAAGCACCACAGGCTATTGTCTAGATTGCTTAGGAGGGGCAAGAAGGGGCTAGGATGTGGGGACCCTGGTGTGGACAAGAGGGCCAGGGACTCTGCCATAGTGGACTAGGACTTAGGGCTGCTGCTTAAGTAGTAAAGGGCCCTGCAGCTGCCCAGACCTGAAGGTCACTCTAAGGGGCTCTTATTGCCTTATATGGTGGTAGCTGCCCCAGAGAAGTGCCATCCCAAAGTAGAGGGGATTGGAGGCTGATTATTTACTGCCTTTACTACATAGCCTAGTGTTACCTAAGAAAGGAGCGTGCTAAGCTGTGGAAAGGGGAAGGGGCATGCTAAGCTATGGGAAGGGAGCTCATTAGGCTAACACTGTCCTTAGTAGCTAGGATTATAGTCATGAGCCATCAGCACCTGGATTTTGCTGGTTAACTGGAGATAAATATCTCAGGAACTTTCTTGACCTGACTAGCTTTCAACTATGATCCTAAGACCTCAGCCAGGATTATAGGCATGAGCCACTAGGTCATGAGCCACCTAAGTCTGACCTCTCATTTTATTTTATTTATGTTATTACTTATTAGCCAGTCCTGGGGCTTAAACTCAGGGCTTGGTATTATCCCTGAGTTTTTTTCTGCTCAAGGCTAGTGCTCTACCATTTAAGCCATAGCACCACTTCTGGCTTTTTCTGAGGAGTTTATTAGAGAAAAGAGTCTCATGGACTTTTCTTTTTGGTTGTGGGGCTTGAACTCTGGGCCTGGGCACTATCTCTCTTCAGCTCAAGGCTAGCACTCTACCACTTGAGCCACAGTGCCACTTCCAGTTTTCTGGTGGATTATTGGAGATAAGAGTCTCACGGACTTTTCTTGCTGTGGCGGCTTTGAACCGTGATCCTCAGATCTCAGCCTCCTGAATAGCTAGGATTACAGTTGTGAGTCACTGGCACCAGGCTCTCATGGACTTTTCTAGGCTAGCTTTGAACCTCTATCCTCGTAAGTAGCTAAGATTACAGGCATAAGCCACCAGCACCAGGCTGACTTCTCATTCTGAATTTTCATGTGCAGTGATCTCAGTTCTAAGGTCGTTTTTGCTCTTGACTGTCCACTATGAGGAAGAAATTGAGAAATAACCCATGAGAGTTCTTTCCCCTGGTCTTTCGATCCTTCCTTCTTTTCTTTTTTTCCTTTTTTCTTTTTTTTTTTTGGCCAACCCTGGGGCATGAACTCAGGGCCTGAACACTGTCCCTAGCTCAAGGCTAGCACTCTATCACTTGAGCCATAGCACCACTTCTGACTTTTTCTGTTTATGTGGTAATGAGGAATTGAACCTAGGGCTTCAGTCATGCTAGGCAAGCACTCTACCACTAAGCCACATTCTCAGCCCCCCTTCCTTATTTTCCAATGATCTTAGAGTGGCAAAGACAGATCTCCAGTGGGAGGGTGGGATAAGGAGAAAGAATGGAGAGAGGGCTCACTCCACCCAGAAAAAATCTGTCCATTCATTTTGTCCTCATTCTTCCAACGTGTCTGCTGTCCTGCTAGGCTGTGAACTTCTTTAGGGCAGCACCAGGCCTCTGCCACCTTTAGGTCCTGTATTCAGCAGCACAGGGCCTGGCCTGGTGGAGTAAGTGCTCTGAATGAATGGATGAATGGATTCATGTGTGTGCGCATGCACCACTGCCTACGTTCCAAAGCCACTTGGCATTTGGGGAGCAAGAAGCCATGCACTTTCTCCCTCTGACATCCAGGATAGATATATTCTGAAGAGCAGGGGAAATAGGGCATCCTAGGAGCAGAGCACATGGGTCCAGGTAGGCAGAAGACTGGCTCTCAGGATGCAAACACTGGGACAGTGTCCACCATCAGCACACAGACCCATCACTTCTGTCCTGGAAGCCAAGCAGCATGAAGACATGGTGACTGTTTGGGGCCTTGCAATGCAGCTGCCACAGGCAAAAAGTCTTCCTTCCCATATAGTACTTGTCCTACCAAGTCTTACAAGGTGCTCAGAGCACTTTCTCATCCAGTCAGCCTTACAAAGATGGGCATCAACAGGCTGGGAATGTGGCTCAGTGGTAGAGTGTTTGCCTAGCATGCAGGACGCACTGGGTTCAATTCCTC